AAGTGCCTAGAACAGCGGCTTCCAGCCGAGGAGGGGTTCGCCACCACTCTGGGAAAATGTGCCTGACATCCTCACAGTGTGGCTGTCGCTCCATCTCTTCCCCAGCCTCTCACCCCTTGTCACAGGAGACGGTGAAGGGGGCTGCCCGGCTGGGGACAGTGAATCCAGGAGGTGTGCCCGCCCTCCTCACTTGAGTGGGTTTCTGAACCCCGGATGTGTGAGTGTGTGAGTGTGTGTGTGTGTGTGTGTGTGTGTGTGTGTGTACACCGTCCATGCAAACCTCTCTGAGGGAAGCAGCTTGCCAGGCACGCAGCACCTCTGAGAGTGGAGAGGGATGAAGAGTTCTGGCCCCAGCTTGGGAGCCAGGAGCTGGGCGGCTGGAGGAGGGAGGTGTGGGGGCCACCCTGGGGGAGGCTCTGACTTCCCAGGCACTAGGGCCTCCCCAGTTCTACCGCCACTCCGAACCAGGCGGCTTGGAGATGAGGGGTGGGAGGGTGTGCCCAGCTCTTGGGAACAGGGCCCTGCCAGGCGCTGAGTACCTTGGGAACAGGGTAAGAGCCCTTGGCCAGGAGATGACAAGTCAAGTTTCTCCACTTCAGGGCCGGCTTCCAGCAGCGACAAAGAGGAGGAGGTGCAGGGACAGTGGGCACTAAGCTGGGCGTGCAGAGGCCAACTGGGCACTCTCTTGCCCTCCTCGCCCTCTCCTTGGCCCCGGACAATGGCCTTCCTGCATCAGGCCACATCTGCAGCCTCCTCTGCAGCCTCGGATTACCTGGCCCCAACTTCCCAAACTGAAATAAAATGAATTCCAAACGACAGATGTTTAAAGGGAAAACTGCTGATAGAGTTACCACCTTTCGACTTTTACCCCAAAAAAAAAGAAGGAAGCAACATGTCGTGGAATGGCGTGTTCCTTTCTATTGATAAGCGACCTACGTTGTTGAATGTCGCCCGGCAAGAGGAGGCCCGGGTGGCAGGGAGAGGCCTCCGCTCAGAAAGCCCTGAGAGCCAGCTACCCCGCCAAAGGCACATGCGCGCGGGCACCCACCCCATCGCCTCAGCCCCTACAAATAGAAACCCGAAAAAGGCGCTTTTCTTTCCACCCTTCCTGCCTCTGCTGCTAATGAACCGTCCCCTTCCAGTGTGGAGGGTGAGGGGGGATGAAAAGCGTTATTAACCTTCCCTTAAACACAGATTTTTTTTTTTTTGGCGAAACATAGAAATGCTGCAGAAAGACTACACTCCAAGTGCCAAATGCAATAAAGAAGCCCTAAGCCAAGGTAATGGTCAGGTGATGGCCAATAAACCGCCTTCCTAGAAGGGGCCGCTGCCTCCGTTGGGCCAGTGCTTCTCCTCCTCAAAAGCAGGACGAAATGAGCAACTAAAATGGATTTTTTTAACAAAGCTCTGTGTTTGCATCTGCAGGGCTGGGTTGTTTTGTTTGTTGGTTGGTTGGGGTTTTTGTTTTGTTTTTTAATGAGGGAAAACCTAAGGAGGTAGGCATGGGAGTGCAGGCTGGAACCTGGGAGAGCGTTTCCCTTTTTTATCGTAGGTATTGGGCTGCTGAAACGGCCGCCATCTACCTTACCTACTTCAAAAACCTCTTTTTAAACCGAGATCAAGTGTACGAGTAACAAGTGCCCCGTCACCTTCTGCGTCTTTACGAGACTTCTGGGGTGCTGGTAGCTGAGGGGGGTGACTCGCTGCAATCCGTTCGTTGCTGTAATTGAAACCCTGCGGGTATCACTTTGGAGAAATGGGGTGGGGGTTCCTGCGGGGTTTTGAGCTCTGGACAAGCTGAGCAGACCCAGCCTCACTTCTGCCCCGTCATCAGGAGAAAAACAGATGCAACCGGTGTTCCTAACACCGCCCAGGGGCTAGCCTCCCTGTCCAAGAACACGCTGGAGGCTCCCGGCTCTGCCCTCCGGGGCTTGGCTTTTATTCTTCCTTTTCTGGAAGATGGGGATGAAAGCCAAGGGCTTGAGGCAGTACACACGTCCATCTTCTTGCTTTTCCCTTCTTTGTTTTTTAATTAAATGGTTTATTCCTCCCAAATGACTGCCAACGAATTTATAGGTTCAAACTATTGTGTTTTTAAAAAGCCCTCTCAAAATGGGAAAATGGGTTGTGCGTTCCTTCTGGGTTTAACTTCAGTGGGGACTTTCAGAGTCTGAGGTCCCTGGTCTAGGTCCGTGGGATCCTGTAGGGAAGCCCGACAGGACTTGGCCACCGAAGAAATTTACAAAAGACAAAAAGAATAACAAGCAGTTGAGAAAACCTCTGTCTCTAGGTGACTTGCTTCCGCTGCAATGTTTCTTTTCCGAAACGAGCAAGGTAGGTTTGCTTTTTCAAGTCTGCTGCTCACACGGCCTCTTCCTAACCCAGAAAAAGAAAGAAACCGGTGCAGACAGAGCGGCAAAGTTTTCGTTGGGTGGCGCGGCAGGGGTCACCACCATGTGCTTGGAAACTCACGCATGACGCGGTGGGGAAGTTACTAGCCCTTCAAAACACAGCAAAAAAAAAAATGCATCGTTTTCATCTGATTTCCTTTATTGCCCAGATTGTGACTGAGTTGCATAAAGCAGTACTTCTGTCTGAGAAAGGCAGCTGTGGTGACAACAGCTGGAGCCGCGCGAGGGGGAACCTGAGGCTTAGCCAGGAAAGTTTGCAAGAGTTCCCATCTCGTTAGCAGAGAGCGGCGGCGGCGGCGGCGGCATCCTCAGAGGCACCAGACACAAAATAACCGCCCTCCCCCCGGATGAGTGACAACTATCACCAGGCCAGAGAAGAGGCTTGTTTTCTGCATGTTGCGTGGGCTGTGCGTGCGGGAATATGTTAATTCGACAGCATCCAGCTTGGCAATGAACGCAGCTGGAAAAAGTTGCTCAAAAAAATTCGAAGGGTTTTGTGTTCTGCTTTCACTTCAGCGGATACCCGGCATGAGGCGCGCGAAGCCTTCGGCTTTCATTTCACAACTTACACTGGGTTGGAACAGACTCTCCCCCCCCCCCCCGCCCCGGTATTTACCCCCCCCCCCCCCCGCGAATCACACACACACACTTCTAACCTTTACTCGCAATTGAAGTCCCCAGGCCTGCAAGCATATGCACATCTATCCCTCCTCCCATGAAAATAAAGACATCGGCCTCATTTACAAGCAAACAGGAAAAGCAGGAGTTCCAGCGGCGCGCTTTGACCCTGTCGCAGCTAAGTGAAATGAACACTATCCAGAAAGAGAAACAGATGGGCTGATGACCCAAACCGCCTGATATTTTGGGTTGATCCCCGAGATCAGGGCGAGAGGAGCCGCGCCGGGGAGGGAGGGGGTGCTTGGGTGAGGACTGGCCGGAGCAGTGGACAGGCGCCCGCAGTGACAGCATCTCTCTGGGCGAGACCGCGCGCTCCCACCGCCGCAGACACCCAGCCGGCCGAGCCGGAACCTGAGGCTTCCTTTCGCGCGGCTGCTGCGGGGCCGCCAGAGGCTGCCGGGTTTGGGGCGTACTTGGCTTTCATCTGCCAGGGGGAGAGGGGGGATAGGGATGTCCCTGGGGGAAGCATCCCACCCCCTCCCCACCTCTGCTCTTTCTAGGCTACAGGCAGAACAATCAGAGTTCTGTTCTCTGCGAGTGGGAAAGCGAACGGCGGCCTGTCCTCTCCCGAGGCTGCTCCGAGCCCCACGTGCTGACACCTCTCGGAGGAGCGCTTTGGGCCGCCCCGATCGCTCCGGGTCTTGGGACCGCCGAGTCCCCTTAGACTCGAGGGAGAAACATTTCAACAAGCCCCGTCCTGATGCCTACGGTCCCGGTGGACGCTCGTGCCGTAGGAGACAGGGTCGGGCCCGCGGGCCAAGCCGGACAAAGTCACCCAACACTTCTGCGAGAAGAGTGGGGGAGGGGTCCCGCCGCCCCCGCTCGGAGCCCGGTGGCCCTCACCCCGCGCTTCCCAGGCCGCTCCACGCCGAGCAGGCAGGGGGCGCCGGGGAGGGTGAGCGAGCCGGGAGCCCGGGCGCCTCCAGGAGAGCGGGAGGCTCCTCCGCGCCTTCGCCGCGGCCCCAAGTCCCGGCAGCCCGCCCCCTGGGGGTCACTCGGCGCCCCGCCAGCCCGAAGCTCCGGGGCCGCGGGAGCGCGCCCTTTTCGGCCCCCTGCTCCACGGCGCACGCCGGCGCTGGGATGCGCGCCCTGCACTCCCCCGCTCCTCACGTGCTCGGGGGCCTCCTTCCTCTTCCCCACCTGGCCCGGGG